AGGGCAGGGAGGCTGTATGGGTGAGATTTAGGGAACTATATAATCTAAAACACTTACTGACATGTTAATTAAATTAGCTCTAAGTAGGAATCAATTAATTATCCAAAAATTGGACAATGATAGAGCTATTAAATGGTAGTCAATCTTAAACAATGGTTATGAAGACTGTGTAGCAATATGGAAAGTGATTATATAACATTAATTGAAAAAGGATTATCAAATTTTATGTGTAGGTATGGTATAATAACAATCATGTACACAATTTGTATATTCCAGGAGCGGGCCCCTCCCCCACCTCCATGGCTTTTCAGGTGCTCTTGTCTTGCTGGGGAGTCCCTTTCCTCCTCCATCTACCTGGATTTCTTTCCATCTCCACTCCCGTCGCTATACACCAAACTACTCTAGCCTCTCACTGTGACAATTAAAGCAGTCTTCCAGTTGGGCTCGTTGCCTTCAGTTTCTCTGCAGTCAAGTGATCTTTGATAGAAACAAATCAAATCGTATCACTCTCCCCAGAATCACTGGCTTCCAGGAAGTTAAGGATAAAGTCCTAAAATACTTAACATGCTAAAAATGTCATGCCTGATTTCCTGCATCATCTCAAACAACCTCTACCTCCACCCATTCTCTGAGCTCCAGCCACAAAGGCCTTTTCCTTCCTTTCTTTCTCCCTCCATCTCTCCCTCCCTCCCTTCCATCCTTCTTTCCTCTCTCTCTCCCTCCCTCCCTTCCTTCATCTCTTCCCCGCCCACCCAAGACACTAAGCCCATTTGTTGCCCAGGGTTTCCCCCACTGACACACCGGACCTCCTTTTTTGGAATGGTGGCCTGCCTATATGACCTTGCCATACCCTTTGGCCACAGTGCTATGGGCAGCAGGACGCCCTCACCAGGTGTCTCTATTCTAGTCAATATCCCCCATCCTCCTGCTGCTTAACCACTTCCCTGGCCACCCCCATGGTTGAGGCCCCAGCACGCTCAACACCCAGCCAGCCCCATTCAGACACAGGACACCAGGGAGGCAGCTATTATAACAGTCAAGGTGAGAGGTCACAAGGGTCTGAACTAAGAAAAGGGCAACAAGAACAGAAGAGATCGTGAGCAGACCAGTGACCTGTGACTTCAGGTGGCCTCACTGAAGTGTGAATCCCAAGCCTCACAGCCATATTGTCAAGCCCAGGCTCAAATATGCAAGAAGGTAAATGAAAATTGGAACCATAGTAATAAATTCTGGAAGCGTAATATTACCTGCTCAACTGCTAATACCAATAGAACTGATTTCAGCCTGGGCAGACCAGCAGTCAAGGGTTTAGGCAAGTTCCCTAAAGTCTAAGAATAGAACCATATTTCACAGAGCCAGGACTCCTCTGGCCCCCATGTCCAAGGTCCTTCTGTAGGCCAAGGAGGCAAAGGACGGGGGAAGAACATAAGCTTTGCTTTCGACAGCCCTGGATTTAAATCCTGGCTGTTCCACTTAGCAGCTGTGAATCTGGGCAAGTAGCCTTAAACTTTCTGAAGCCCCTTTTCTTCCCTGTAGTGTACATGTGGAAGCAGAATAACCCAGTAAAGAATACAGAGTTTGAAATCTGACTGCCTGGGCTGAAATTCCTCTTTCCTCTATATACTATAGATGGAGCCTCTAAGCTTCGGAATCATATGGAAAAAATTGGGAATAATAATCACACATACCTCACGGGATTGCTGTGACAGTGAAGTAAGATAGTGCAAGTGCTTAGCAAGTACAAGTTTCCCCTACTATCCAAAAAGTACAGCATTCCTACGAAACCTTTTGTAAACTGAAATGAGAGACAGCGAGGAAGCAATCACCATTCATTTATATGGAAAAATTTTTTAGCGTTTTCTTAGGCTTTTCTGGGCACATCTTGCTGACACACACACGAAATCAACTGAAGTAAAGCATAGATGTTCCCAGGAGAGGAGACTGGTGGGGTCGCTCTCACTACTTGGGGTGCGCGGCCTCTATAATGGCTCCCTGCGAAACAAATGCTGAACGCTATTTTCATTTTTTTTTTTTTTGCCTTATTTTCATAAAAACGCAAATTTCTTTTGGTTAGAAAAAACAGGTACTGAGGTAGGTCTTTCATGAACGTCAGGTGTCCTAATATAACTTTTGAAAAGCAGGGGATATGTACGCTAGCACCAGGAAGCACTCGACAGTCAGGGGCTATGATTATCATCATGGAAAGCATCTAGTGCCGTGTTCGATACATTAGGGGGCTCAACACCTGTTAGTTCACCACCACCCTCTCTTGTCCCTGAGGCCAGCAGGATCCAAATGCCACCAAGTCTCTGCCCCATTCTTAGGACACGTGGATTTCAACTCCACAAGCCGTCCTGGATCTGAGTGCGGGCGTGCTATCCAGCAAGGCGATGTTCATGATCAAAAAGACATGGCTTCCTTCTTACAGGATCACTGCTCAGCTGGAAGACCGTTAATACCTGACATAACCCGGTCAATGCAGAGGAATCCTTTTCTGAAGATTTACTCACTCATAAAAAGTTCTCAAAGTACAGAACGATAGCGGAAAAGGTGTTATCAAAATGTGGCCTGGCAGGGTGAGCCTGAAAGGTGGGGACCAGCCAGCCACACCTGTGAAGACTCTAGGCCTCCCTGAGAACAGCATACCCAGCAAAGCAGCCAGGGAGGTCAGGAGACAGCAACCCCCCAGTGTGGCAGAGAACCAGAGGAGGAATAAAGAATTGGCAGCTCTAGGGGAGGAAAAGGGCACAGAGGGGACAAGGAGGTTTGAACAGGAGAGCAAAGACTATAACTCAGAGCACTGGGCC